GTGGCGTACAACCTAGATTCTAGGACTTAGTGGCTACTAACCACTGAAGGCCCGATAGAGATAGACGCAGTGTCGAATCGGGCGGAGCTACCTAGGCAGCTTTTCTATCACTCGGCTTGACACCATATTGTGGCATAATGGGATTTACAATTCCAGTGCTTGCAATGCCGGTTTCCGTAATACAACAGTCCTCGTATCAATGGGGTTTGTTTGGTCAAGTGTCTGAAATCAGCCTGTGTCCGACACAAATTAGGGTAAAGCAAAGTCCGATCGTCGATGGAATACTGTCAGATTGTCCGACCATTGCAAATGAGTTTTCTTGGGGTATTTACAACTAAGGCTTTCGGTTCGCTGAAACCTGACCTGCCAGAAAGATTCGTCAAGTGGATGGAGATTTTCACATGTTTGCTATGGAGATTGATTGCTCGAATGTGAATCTTGATGAAAACTAAACTGTGACACCACGACCATCACTCCTCACGAATCATTCATTTTTTCTCTCTCTTTTTCACTCCCTTCTCCCCCCCCCTCTCTCTCTCTCGGATGCGCTGCTTTGTCAACAGAAACGTGTCCATCTGTAGTCTATCCTTCAGTTTGAACAATCAGTATCTTGTTGCAGCCAGCCACACAGAGACTGTGCACGTGTTCAAGCTGGAAAGTCGATCGTGAGTTTTGTGCAATTTTCATTCACTCCCTATTTGCTTGTTGTTCCTTTGTTGTTAACCTTCGGCAGCACTATTATCTCTTATCATTAGCACTGTTCCGCACTGCGTTTCGCGAGCTTTCGGAAAAAGAACGGGTTATCCAAGTTAGTTTAAGTGTTTTGTACCCAGGGCTATATGTAGTAGCGCGCATCGCGGTCCAGACTGTGTACCATACAATTCACAGTAAAAAAATCTTGATAAAAAAAACGAATCAGTTCGTGATTTTCAAGTGGGTGAGAATACCGCCAGGTTTTTCACTCAAAAAGGTGCATTTTTCTCGGGAAATTCACAACCGTAGCCTTCGGCTAGCCAAGGTCTGACCCGTCAGGCGGCGATGGGGCTGTGTGAACACAGCAGTCCATTGGTGGCTGGTGTTGTGTTCATCGGGGTTGAACGTCCCTGGTGCCCCATCGAGCCATGTGTGTGTGTGTGTGTTTGTGTGTGGTTTGTACGCCTCTTCTAGGCTGGTTCGGAATCGGGTTATTTTAGCCATCTCCCCTAGGAGAACTATCCCATCACAACGAGACTGCACCTTGACGTGGTGTGATGACTTGTGTACCTCCGTGAACCTGTGAGCTACACAGAATGGGTTTTCACAGCCACGGATCCAACCATCAAAGGTCAATGGGTAGGGGTCAGATGAGGCTCAGTCTCACAAAACCAGTTGCTCGGACACCCCCTGGCTTCCCTCGTCTATGCACGCTCGCCCCCTGGAGGGGTCATTTTAGCAAATAAATGCGTTGAGGGGCAGTGTACCGGTCAATATTTCACCCGTTAGATGGAGCGGGCTACCTGAGGCTTCCTGTCGACGATGGGTGAAGTTTTTACACTTTATTGGACAGCTACCATCCGCCCAAGTTGAATAGACCCCAGCCAATAAGGTACTGTCCCGTTCACGTTCCATTTGTGTCATTAGGTGAATGAGACTTAGGGTCAATTCCGAACAGCGGACCGACAATCAACGCACCAACGAACAGTACACTGAACCGAACCCCAAGTAGGCATACATGACGTAATTAAGGAGTCTGATGGCACATTGATTCGTCATCAGCAACGCCGTCTTGATCGATGGGCTGAACATTTCGAGGCTCAGTTCAACTAGCCCCATCGACATAAGGTTTTTCTACCCCTGCATCAACTACTACCAATTAACATCAGTCTGGCCTCTGAACTGGAGATTTCCAGAGTAAGAAGTTATCTTCGAAAATATACGGCTCTTGACCCAGATAGACATGTCCCCATTGGTTTTTAATTATGGGGGCTCAGCTTTAGTTTTGGAGTTGATGAAACTTCTGCGCTGAAAATGGGAGAGAGGTCAAGTTTCAACTGAGTGCTGTGACTTGGTCATCATACCGATTTACAAGAAAAGTGACAGGTCCTTCCAGCCTGGTTCGGCTGATCAAAGCCCGATCCGCAAGGCAGTGGGGCGGTGTGCAAAAGCTGTAATTTATTGGGTGCGGGCGTCCAGTTCACCGGATCGTACATTCGTTAGACTGAGTCAAACGTTCAAGGTGCCCAGTACACCTCGACGCCCAATTAAGCCGGTGACCAATACCACAACCAGGAAGGTGTGTTTGTGGTTCGTACGCCTGTTTTTGGTTGGTTTTGAAGCATGGTTTTTGGCCAACTCTTCTAGGTAAACTGCTAGTTGTTCACCAATAATATATATATATATATATATATATATATATATACCACCGGCTTGAAAACAAGCATGGTGCCAACGCAACAACAATGACAGTGAAGGGGATAGGTGGATTAGGATACAGAACATGGTGAAAAGTGGGTGAGACAGTTAAACATGGAAAATACAAGATAACAGAATTTTTGTGTGTTTCACCGTACACCTTTTGTAATTTGTTTGATGTTTCGTTATTCTTAATGGGCACGAGATTTCGATAGACAGACCGTACAGCATTCGCGCCACTGACTTCTATTCTGCGCCATATCT